GATCCCTGACCCCTGGGGGCGGCTGTGGGGTGGGGGGGTTTGTGGTGACTCCTCACTGGTGGCATTTCACCATCCTCCCTCTCTGCAGCTCGCTGAGCAACTGACAGAAAAGCCAGAGAGGTAGGAGGTAGGACGCCTGGGATCTTTCCCTGCTCTGGGAGTGGGTGGGGTCTGGCGCTTGTGGGGAGCGGGCTGGGAGCCAGGACTCTTGGGTACTCTGTAGGGCGGGGATAAGTGGGATCAAGTGGTTATACAGCGGGGACAGGGAGGCAGGAGGGGCATGGGGGCCTAGTGGTTAGAGTGGGGGGGGGCTGGAAGCTAGGATGCCTGGGTTCCTGATGTCTGTGTCCGTCTAGGTGGAGCTCCGACAGGAGCTTATAGCACATGAAGATCCCACTCCAATCAGGGAATACGATGAAGAGACCATGCCCTGGGAGGAGACCTGGAGAGCCTGGCCTCTAGGGATAGGTGAGGACCTGAGATGCCGGGTAGGGGGGGGAAACAATAACAGAAAATGTGGAAATGACCGAGGTGCTTAATGACTTCTCTGTCCCGGTGGCGAGCGGCCGGCTAACGTAGTGAATGCCTGCGAAAACGAGGTAGGATCAGAGGCTAAAATAGGGAAAGAACAATAGCTTAGACACGCCAGATGTCTTCACGCCACCAGGGCCTGATGAAATGCATCCTCGAATCCTCACAGAGCTGAGCCATTGGCCAGGAGCCTTGAGAAGTCCTGGGAGACGGGAGAGATTCCAGAAGACTGGAAAAGGGCAAATCTAGTGTCCAGCTCTAAAAAGGGGAATAAGGACAACCCGAGAATTACAGACCAGTCAGCTTCACTGTACCAGAAAAGATAATGGAGCAAATAATTAAGCAATTGCTTTGCAAACATCTAGAAGATAATGAGGTGATAAGTAACAGTCGCATGGATTTGTCAGGAACAAATCATGTCAAACCAACCTGATGGCTTTCTTTGACAGCGTAACAAGCCGTGTGGACAGGGGGAAGCGGTAGACGTGGTATAGACTTTAGTAAAGCTGTTGATACTGTCTCGTATGACCTTCTCCTAAACAAACTAGGGAAAAGCAACCTCGATGGAGCTACTATAAGGTGGGTGACAAACTGGTTGGAAAACCATTGCCAGAGGGTAGTTACCAGGCGTTCACAGTCAGGCTGGAAGGACATAACGAGTGGGGTCCCGCAGGGATCGGTTCTGGGTCCGGTTCTGTTCAATATCTTCCTCCATGATTTGGATAACGGCGTAGAGAGTACACTGATAAAGTCTGCGGATGATACCAAGCTGGGAGGGGTGGCAAGCGCTTTGGAGGACAGGATTAAAATTCAAAATGATCTGGACAAACTGGAGAAATGGTCTGAAGTAAATAGGATGAAATTCAATAAGGACAAACGCAAAGTGCCCCACTTCGGAAGGAACAATCAGTCGCACACACACACAATGGGCAATGACTGCCTAGGAAGGAGTCCTGCAGGACGGGGTCTGGGGGTCATAGTGGATCACAAGCTAAATATGGGTCAACAGTGTGACGCTGGTGCAAAAAAAGCGAACATCCTTCTGGGCTGTATTAGCAGGAGTGTTGTGAGCAAGACACGAGAAGTCATTCTCCCGCTCTGCTCCGCGCTGATACGGTCTCAGCTGGAGGATTGTGTCCTGTTCTGGGCGCCACATTTGAGGAAAGATGTGGACAACTTGGAGAAAGTCAAGAGACGAGCAACAAAAATGATAAAGGTCTATAACCTATAGAGGGAAGATTGAAAAAACGGGGTGTGTTTAGTCTGGAGAAGAGAAGCCTGAGAGGGGACATGAGAACAGTTGTCAACTACATAAAAGGTCGTTACAAGGAGGATGGAGATAAATTGTTTTTCTTAATGTCTGAGGATCAGACAAGAAGCAATGGGCTTAAATTGCAGCAAGGGAGGTTTAGGTTGGACATTAGGAAAAAGTTCCTAACTGTCAGGGTGGTTAAACACTGGAATAAATTGCCCAGGGAGGATGTGGAATCTCCAACATTGGGGATTTTGAAGAGCAGGTTGGACAAACCCCTGTCGGGGATGGTCTAAATAATATTTAGTCCTGCCATGAGTGCAGGGGACTGGACTAGACGACCTCTCGAGGTTCCTTCCAGTCCTATGAGTCTACAATGCAGCTGCCTCTGG